AGGGAGCTAAGATCCCACATGCCACGTGCCGCAAACTACAGAGCCCATACTCTCTGGAACCCACGCGCCACAACTACAGAGCTCACATGCCCTGGAGCCTGCACACTACAACTAGAGAGAAGCCTGCACGCTGCAACAAAAAGCCCACACGCTGTAGCGAAAAAGCCCGCATGCCTTAACGAAGATCCCGCATGCCGCAACCAAGACCCGATGCAGCCAAAAATAAATAAAATAAATAAATAAGTAAGTAATAAATCTTAAATAAAAAAGGAACAACCCATTAAAACAAAAAAGAATGAGCAGGAGTTGGATAAGATGAGGCATGGAATGAAGGATCAGGCAAATGTTTCAGATAGAAGGAATGACGTATGAAAAGACTTGGAGGCAAGAAAGGATGTGACTAATCTGAGGAACTCATGCAGTGTGGCTGAAAAACATAGGAAGTGGAGAAAAGGTAGGGAAGGTAGGGGGAAGGTGGGAGATGGTGAAAGATAAAACTAGAGAGATAAAATACATTGTGAGGGACTTGGTAAATAATACTAAGGAGTTTAGACTTTTTGCTGAGGGCAATGGGATATTCTCATTGAACTTTTGGCATATTGCCTTTGTCACAGTGACGCAAATGGGTTAAAAGGGGTAAAATTGAGTTACAACTATGGAATGGAGAAAAGTGTATGTTGGTACCAAAAATTCAGTAATTATTTATTCATGCACTCCCTCAGCCATTTATGTACTCAACAAATGTAATAATTGCCTACTATGTACTAGGTTCTGTAACTAAATATTTTTTAAATAAAAAAGTTGAGTTATTATAGATTTCCTCCCATTTATTGAGCACTTATTATATGCCAGACACTGTGTTAAGTGCTTTACATAAACACTAATATTATCACTTTTTAAATTCTAAAAAATTTTAAAAATTTGTGAGCTAGTTTTTTATTGGAGTATAGTTGCTTTACAATGTTGTGTTAGTTTCTACTGTACAGCAAAGTAAATCAGCTATACGTATACATATAACCACTTTTTTTGGATTTCCTTCCCATTTAGGTCACCGCAGAGCATCAAGTAGAGTTCCCTGTGCTATACAGTAGGTTCTTATTAGTTATCTATTTTATACATAGTATCAATAATGTATATATGTCAATCCCCATCTCCCAATTCATCCCACACCCCCTTCCCCCTTGGTATCCATATGTTTGTTCTCTACATCTGCCTCTCTATTTCTGCTTTGCAAATAAGATCATCAATACCATTGTTTTAGATTCCACATACATGCATTAATATATGATCTTTGTTTTTCTTTTTTTGGCTTATTTCACTCTGTATGACACTCTCTAGGTCCATCCATGTCTCTACAAATGACCCAATTTTGTTCCTTTTTCTTGCTGAGTAATATTCCATTGTATATGTGTACCACATCTTCTTTACCCATTCCTCTGTTGATGGATATTTAGGTTGCTTCCTTGTCCTGGCTATTGTAAATAGTGCTGCAATGAACATTGGGGTGCATGTGTCTTTCTGAATTATGGTTTTCTCTGGGCATATGCCTAGTAGTGAGATTGCTGGGTCATATGGTAGTTCTATTTTTAGTTTTTTAAGGAACCTCCATACTGTTCTCCATAATGGTTGTATCAATTAACATTCCCACCAACAGTGCAAGAGGGTTCCCTTTTCTCCACACCCTTTCCAGGATTTATAGTTTGCAGATTTTTTGATGATGGCAATAGTAAATATTTATACACCCAACATAGGAGCACCTCAATACCTAAGGCAAATGCTAACAGCCATAAAAGGGGAAATTGACAGTAACACAGTAATAGTGGGAGACTTTAACCCTCTACTTATACCAATGGATAGATCATCCAGACAGAAAATTAATAAGGAAACACAAGCCTTAAATGACACATTAGACCAGATAAACTTAACTGATATTTATAGGACATTCCATCTGAAAGCAGCAGAATGCATTTTCTTCTCAAGTGCACGTGGAATGTTCTCCAGGATAGATCACATCTTGGGTCACAAATCAAGCCTCGGAAAATTTAAGAAAATTGAAATCGTATCAAGCATGTTTTCTGACCACAACGCTATGAGGTTAGAAATCAATCACAGGGAAAAAAACTTAAAAAACACAAACGCATGGAGGCTAAACAATATGCTACTAAATAACCAAGAGATCATTGAAGAAATCAAAGAAGAAATAAAAAAATACCTAGAAACAAAAGGCAATGAAAGCACAACAACCCAAAACCTATGGGATGCAGCAAAAGCAGTTCTTAAGAAACTGATATTATCTTTAAATAGGTAAAGAAACTGAAGTAAAGAGAGCTCAAGCATGCAAAAGTCATATAACTAGTAAATGGCAGAGCCAGGATTTGCACTCAATCATTTTGACATCTCAAAATATTTGGCCATTCACTTAAATGACTATTGTTTCCCACATGTAAATTTTACTTATTATTTTTTAAATCCAAAGAAAAAACAAATATGATATTTTGAACTAATTTTGGGGAGGGTTTAATCAGCAAGATGTATGCCAATTGTCCTGGATTACCATAAAGAAGTTACCTTTGCTTTATAGATGAGCAATAATTATATATATCTCTAAATGAACATTTAGGTAAAATTTGGGGCACTCAAGCCCCCCAAAAATTTTCATTCCTAAGACTTACTTAGATGATGTTTAAGGGTTTTTTGTTTTGAATTTGTTTTTTATCCTTCTGTGTTTTTCTCCTTTATTAATAAATATTAATAAAGGATATATTTACAAGGGTAATTTTATTTTGAAATAGGAGAAAAGGAAATTCGTGCTGCAATAATGTCAGAGTTTCCGGAGGAAGATGTTGTGAAATTGTTTGTCTAAACACATTTTATTTGGGGTTCAGTATGAATTTTCAATAGATGGTTTTTAGATAAGGAAGCGGTAATTCAAACGTGATTATATAAACAAGAAGATCAGAGAGGAATTATCCTGAAGGGTATAAAATGAACCAAGAGCTTCTAGTCTGGGTCATTACAGCATCAGCTCCCCAATGCAAAGTAAGGTAGGTGTCTACACTGAGAAGGCATTGTGAAATGAAATGTTGTTATTCTAAATTATTTTCATTTTCATCATTTTAGCATTTATTTCAAAATGGCAAATGCTGAGTGACAGCTTGCTTTGATAGGCTCTAGAAATTCTAGTTATTGCTCCAAAATTGTTCAGTGATAGGTGAAGATGAATGAACTACATATGTAAGGATAAGAAAATATTCTACTGACTTCAAAGAAGAGGAAAAATTGGTCAATTTCCTTATGAAGGCTGATTGATATTCATGGCCTTCCCTTACTATTTACATTTGATTTAAATGTTTTAATCAGTTAAATAATCTGTGTATTAAATCCTGTCAATTACTAATGGTTATCTTTGATGATAATGTACTTCTGAGAAAAGTTGGGAATAAATTCAATTTTGGGTACCTGCAGAGGTAATTTACTCTTTATTGTTTTAGTTATAGCTAACCCCCCTTGGATAGTTTCCAAAGCACACACCTGACTTATAGTACATTTTGCTCTCTAGAAAACTGTATTGCTTTAGTGAACTTCCTGGAGTTCACAGGGTGGACAATTGATTCTTTTCATAGCACAGTAAGGGATTTGGGGAGAAAAGATTGGTGAAGGCAATTAGCAGATTAGAGAGAAATGTGCTTAAGAATGAAGGTAGTGAGAACAAAAAGATGAGAGAAAAGGCTGGGTAAGGGGCAAAGGAAAGAGGATATCTTGGAATAAGTACAAATGTTGAAAGTGTAGACATAGTGGTCATGGCACTGAAAAGGGCATCTCTCATCATTTAGGGCCTAAAATCACACCTCTGTTTAGGTGCTCAATAAATCATTTATGAATGATTTTAAAAGAGGCAATTAAGTTACAGAGGATGAGAATCCAGGTGACAATAAAGGAGAAACTGTGGCAGATCACCTAGGGAGGTATTAACTAACACTGATTTATATACTCAGTATTATATAGTTACATAGTTTTCTGTAGCATTCCAAGTGCTTCACATGTATTGTTTTATACTTATTATGATTTTAGGAAGGAGTATATGGAAAAATGAAGGTACAAATTTCTTAATTTCTCAGTTACACACAATTGCAATAAAATCTGGAAGCATAATTCTAGGCCACTATCTCTTAGACCAGGGACCAGACACTAATTTATCACATAGGATCATAGTCTATTTGTGCTGAAAAGTCCTTCCTGATCATCTTGTGGTTCTAAGCCTTTTCTTTTACAGCTGAAGAAATTGAGCCCCAGAAAGATTCTTTGGGTGAAGTTTTACTACTTGCAATAAAGGAGAAAGAATAATTCTTACTTTCTTTACTAAGTTATATAGCTACTGCTGCTGCTGATTCAGCACTTTTAATTTTTCTTTCTGTTAATTTGGAGTTTTACATTTATAAGAGGAACTTCAGACAATGTAAAGTGTCCATAATGAATATGACAACAATGGGTAAAAGTTCCAAAACTGTTTTTTCTTCTACAGTTTTAAAAAGGATCAGGTGTACTTGTCTTTTTCGGTTTTGCAGATGGGGAAATTAGGCCCAGATAGATTCAATATTTTAGTTGATTTCTCATAGATCCATGGGAGATCTTGAAATAGAATTCTGTTCCTTAACTCCAGGACCAATATTCTCACCACTAGGTCAGCACATATATATTTTATATAGAACATAGAGCTAAAAGTTAAAATATGTGAAGTTAATTATTTCCTATGGCAAAAATTCAGTAGCTGGCTGGCTAGATGGGCAAGAACCATATGATCATGACAGGTGAATATTTTATATCATTTACTCAGTCTATTTTTTTTTGATGTGGACAATTTTTAAAGTCTTTATTGAATTTGTTACAATATTTCTTCTGTTTTATATCTTTTGGCCGCAAGGCAGGTGGGATCTTAGCTCCCCGACCAGGGATCGAACCCGCACCCACTGCATTGGAAGGTGAAGTCTTAACCCCTGGACTACCAGGGAAGTCCCTCAGTCAGTATTTTTAAGATCCTGGAGAGGATCCTCTAAGTCTGTGGCTCTAAAATAATGGAACCAGCTCTATACCATAGAGGGAGCTCACGTTTGTGAAGCACTGAGAAAACCAGACTCCATGAGCAAGGAATTCTTATAACTGCTCCGTGATTGAAATACCAAAAAACCTCCAAGGAATGCTTAAATATGCAAATTTGATTTGAAAGTATTCACCAGAAAACACTTCTTAATGGGTTAGTTCACTTCCTTGTCTATATAGGGAAAAAGAATCTTTGATTATTGTGGGTGTCAGAGTCATAATTTCAAGTCATTCAGAGCACTTAAAACACTACCTACTTTTTGTTAACATTTGTTCTTATTTATCTTGAGTGACTATCTAGGAGTAGAATTGCTGGGTGATCAGTTAAGTGTATGTTTAATTTTATAAGAAACAAACTGATTTTCAAAATATTTGTATGTACCATTTTACCATCCCACCAGCAACATATGAAGGTTCTAGTTGCTCAAAATCATCACCAACACTTGGTGTTATCAGTTAAACAATATGTATTTTTATTATTAGTGTTCATAGTTAACTCCTTCACTAGACTGTCAGCCCTTGAGGTCAAAGACCATAGCTTATCCATTTTGTGTCTGTCAGTGCCTACTTTAAATGCTCAATATATGTTTGTCTAATTTATCGGCAATTCTCATTCTCCAAACAGGAGACTGGTTGGAATGGCCACTAATCTCTGGAAGTTGACATTTAAAATAAATACCTGGTAGCTTGTTGAATGTGGTTTCATTTTTTTCTTACAAGCTGATTAAAGACAAAAATTCTTGTTAACTGAGGCAGAGTCTATGAGATTTCAGTTAATGGAAGTTTCAGTGTATGTAGCTTAAAGATGCTCTTGGGATATAATTGATAGATTTGAGAAAAATCTTGATACATTTTTCATGATTGAATAACAACATTTAATGAATTATAATTTATTTAATAGAATAATAAAACAAGTGTGTGTTCAAAGGTAATACTACTCCATTAAGATATGTATTTTCTTTTCTGACAATGATACTTGAGAAGGAAAAAAATCCAAATATGCCTAGCTAACTGTAAAATCTTTGAAGTGATCAACTTACATCCAAAAGTCTGAAACTTGATTACCCTCTCTCAGTAGCAAAACTTAAATAATTATAAGTCATAACATTATCCAACTCATTACAAAGTCCAGTTGACAGTGAACACACTCTTCATCAGACAGGCTCTATAGAGATACGTATTCTGCCTGAGGCACAGTGGATCCTCTGTTGTCTTCCGTTCACCCAAAACTTATTTTACTTTCCTGGCTAACTTACAGTGGACCTGTCATCCTTGATTGTATTACTCTCATTGTGTCAATCTGTATTTTTTGCCTCCACAATCTTTTTAAGATAATGAATTCCATACAACTTCTGTGTAAAATAATTTTATTTTTCCAACTCTAATTCTTTCAACCTTAAAGGATATCCTAAGGGTTGAGAAGAGGGGTTTTTAGATTTCTGGGTTAGCCCCTTAACACCAGTGGTAGTTTTAGCTGACCTTTAGCCTTGTCTTTCTTGACAGGCATTGGGTAGAATCATATGCAAGACTGTTTGCATTGAGCTGGTACTGAAGTTTGATTATGCACTTCCTTGATTTCTTTGCCTTTTCTTATTATGACCAGTTTGTTGGCCTTTTAAGCTATTGAATCAAAGTTTTTAGAAAAGCACATTTCTGGGAAAGCCCTTACTGAAGCCTGTTAACTCACTTCTTATAATGATAAAGGCAGGTATTTTGATTGTTTCCATTGAATGAATTATTTTGTACTTAGTTGACATATGTGTCCCTGCCACTTTTCTGTTATAGTGTTTCAGGCTTGCCATTTCACTGCCCAGTGGAGCTAAGTGGCACCTGCAAGCAGGACTTTCACTATGTGAGCTCTGTCACTATGGGGTATGTGGATCATAGCCACACCTAAATATATAAAGAAAGGTTACTGAGAGTATTAACTATGTAAAAACACCTAATATAGGGCCTAGGATAAAGAAGGCATTCAATAAATACATATATTTATACACACACACACATACACACACATTATAGCTCTTTCTGAATGTCCCTTCTGAATGTCCTAAAGGATACATGTAATAGATTCTTTAATTTTATCTTTGATTTAGCATGACTGCTATCTTCCTGATGTCCATGCTTTTTGGCCTTGCATGTGGGCAAGCAATGGCTTTTTGTATTCCAACTGAGTATATGATGCATGTCGAAAGAAAAGAGTGTGCTTACTGCCTAACCATCAACACTACCATCTGTGCTGGATATTGTATGACACGGGTATGTAGTTCATTTCACTTCTTTTAGCTGAAAATTAGATAAACCTAGACTCAGTCCATTTCTATCCAGAGAGAAAATGAGATAAAACACAACCTCATTTCCAAAATCTAATGGTTATTGGCTCTGTAGAGGTAGAGTACACAGGTTACAGTATCTACTCAGCACAGTGGATACAGATAATTTTATAACAGTTTTACTTCCAAAATTTATTTAAAACTTACCTTGTTCTCATGATATAAGGTAAAAGAGGGGGGTCACTTTTGTCTCTATGGGATTTAGTGTGGATATGTTGAGTTAGTACCGGGGAATGGAACGAAGGAATCCTCCTCCAGTCCTGTTTGTGACAAAGGAATATAAGTGAATTGATTTTTATCTGTTTCCATTACCTATATATTTTCTAAAGTCCTATCACAGTATGCTCCTTTTTTAATTCTTTCCTCAGGACTTCAATGGCAAGCTGTTTCTTCCCAAATATGCTCTGTCCCAGGATGTTTGTACATATAGAGACTTCATGTACAAGACTGTAGAAATACCAGGATGCCCACGCCATGTTACTCCTTATTTCTCCTACCCTGTAGCTATAAGCTGTAAGTGTGGCAAGTGTAATACTGACTATAGTGATTGTATACATGAAGCCATCAAAACAAACTACTGTACCAAACCTCAGGAGTCCTATGTGGTGGGATTTTCTATCTAACTTCAATTGCGATGTAATTTGCAATTTGGTTAAATGTGTTTACCTGGAATAAAACTAATTAAATATCGATATATTTCACAACACCATGTGTACATTTGAGTACTACTTCATCCATACCCATACCCATTCATGCATTAGTGAGCTTAAGGGCTTTAGAAGAAAAGGTGAGTGAAAGAGCATTTCCAGCTCATATGAAGGATGATTTCCACATGAAAGGGCAGAGTGCAGGTAAAATGGAGAACAGGAACATGAACTACTAATGAAAGACAGCGTTAATCAGGCTCTCTTAACAGAGGGCCACGAGGTTTGTCTTGACATAGAAAATGAATATGGGAAAGCTACAGAGTAATGTGATCAACGGCTGAAGGAACAAACGGTGTCAGCGTACTGGACACACCTACTTCCAAAGGCTGAAACGGGGCTGGAGTAGAGAGAGAGAGTAAGGAATATATGAAATTTGCAATATACTACTTTATCCTGTCATTCAAATACACAAGATAAAACTTTACCAAAACTCAGTAAACAGTATATTTTAATCTATTTAATTTAATTACTCTGGTGGGCCTACTGACTTATGAAAGTTATACTCCAAAAGCCTAGAAAAGAGGCCACGATCATTTTACATGTAGAAGTCTAAATCCTTTGTAGTCTTTAAGGTAATTTGAGACACTTTCCAGCAACTTATGCTGTTTTGGCTTTCAATGTCATGAAAAACTAGTATGATTATGAAAGATTTTAGGAATAGTGGTAGAGTGCAAAGGGATCTAACAGAGAGGAATCATCCTAAATTCTAACCTAAACCTTCAATAGTTAAACACTGTTTTCCAGTAAATGTGCTTAGAGAGTGGTTTATTTTTCTCTTCCTTCCTTAGGTACTCTTTCATGAGAGTTTGGTTTCAATAGCTGCGTGAAGTGAGACAGACCTAGTGCCCTGCAGACTTGACCTCATAAAAGATGACTTATCCTATATTTTTCCATTTCGCTCCATCCAAATTGCTGCCATTGGGTGAAAATCATTTGTCAGCAGGGCCAGTTGTCTTTGTTATATCCTAGTCATTGGTTCATCTGGGCATGTTATAAATGCCTGCAGGCTGACAGTGTCCAAGGGGGGACGCTAAGGTGGTGTAGATGGATTAGTACCAAACCCATGCTCTGCCAATGGGGACAGGATAGTTGTACATTTATATGCAAAGCCATGAATCCACATTATTCTTACCTTAACATGTGAAGTCAATGTTATCATGATCTCCAAATATTAATCTGGGGTTTTGGGTTCTCATATCACTTGACAATATGGACACTTAAAGCTGTAGAATTAAAACATTCCCTCTGAAAACTGTATATCAAATATAGATTTTTGATTAATCAAACCTAACTGGCACTAATCACACATGACTTGCACAGAATCTGAAAAATTTTTTCCAAGGACTTGAGCTGTGGAAAGCCTATGGGGTTCAGTGAGGCCCCTTATAAACAGTCCAGCTCAGAAGACATTCATTAAATGGGCTTCCTCAACATTCAGGGAGGAGGCTAGGCCTGGACATGGGTGTGGTGGCCTGTATCAGCATGGAGCCCTAGAGTGGGTACATTAGAGACAACTTGTTTCTTTCCACTGAAGGCAGTCCATTTGGATTAGATGCATATATAAATTATCTTAAACTACTTTTGAAAATGGAGTTGTCCAAGGCAAAGAATCCTTAGAAAAGAGCTTAGGAATTGGCATGACCAAAAATTTACCTCAGCTAGATCCAGAAACTTGGGTATATGGAAATGCTATTTTGGAATGTATTAGTATTCTTTGGGTTTAGAAGTGGGAGAATGAATAGAGAACTTAGAGATGGGGACGTGAAGAATTATTGCTTGTGTGAGAAGAGAAAGATGGAAATTTTGGAACATCTTCTGAACTGGTCTTTAATTCAACCTGAAGTTTAATAAGTCAGTTTTTGGCAGAGGAAGTTTGAGATTCAGTTCTTTAAAAAGAGTCCCTCTTGTTTCTCATTTGACTTTGAAATATAAAGAGTTCTTTCATAACTAAATGGATGCTGCTAGTAATAGAAGTTCTCTTTTAGAGGGAATGTACCTCAACATAATAAAGGCCATATATGCAAGCCCACAGCTAACATCATACTGATGAAAACGTTTTCTCTAAGAAGAGGAACAAGACAAGAATATCCACTCTTACCAATATATTGGAAGTCTTAGCCAGAGTAAGTAGACAAGAAAAAGATAAAAGACATCCAAATTGGAAATGAAAATGTAAAATGGTCACTACTGCATGATACTATATATAGAAAACCCTAAAGACTCCATCAAAAAACTGTGAGAACTAATTGCAGGATACAAAATCATGTACAGAAATCAGTTACATTTATATATACTAGTAAAAAACTAACAGAGACATTAACAAAACTATCCTATTTACAATTACATCAAAAATAGATAGGAGGTAAAAGACCTGTACACTGAAAACTATAAGACACTAATGAAAAAACATGAAGAAGACACAAATAAGTGGGAAGATAGTCTGTGCTCATGGCTTGGAAGAATTAATATTGTTAAAATAAATGTCCATACTACCCAAAGTGATCTACAGATTCAAAGCAATCTTTATCAAAATTCCAATGCCATTTTTTACAGAACTAGAACAAACAATTCTAAAATTTGTACAGAACCACAAAAGACCTCAAATAGCCAAAGCAATCCTGAGAAAGAAGAACAAATCTGGAGCATCATCCGTCCTGATTTCAAACTATATTACAAAGCTATAGTAATCAAAATAGTATGGTATTGGCATTAAAAAAAGGCACTAAATCAATTGAACAGGATAGAGAGCTCAGAATAAAACCATGCATATATGGTCAATTACTATAAAACAAAAGAGCCAAGACTATACAATGGGGAAAGGACAGTCTCTTCAATAAATGGTGTTGAGAAAACTGGACGTCTACATGCAAAAGAATGAAACTGGACTGCTTTCTCACACCATATACAAAAATCACCTCAAAATGGATTAAAGACTTAAACGTAAGACCTGAAACCATAAGTCTCCTAGAAGAAAATGTAGGCCGTATGCTCTTTGACACTGGTATTAGCAATATTTTTTTTAATCTGTTTCCTCAGACAATGGAAACAAAAGCAAAAATAAATAAACGTCAAACTAAAAAGCTTCTGCACAGCAAAGGAAACTATCAACAAAATAAAAAGGCAACCTACTAAATGGGAGAAGGTATTTGAAAACAATATATCCCATAAGGGGTTAATATCCCAAATATACAAAGACTCATGTAACTTGACATCGAAACAAAAAAAAAATGAAACAGCCTGATTTAAAAAATGGGCAGAGGACCTGAATAGACATTTTTTCCAAAGAATACATGCAAACAGCCAACAGGTACACAAAAAGATGTACAATATCACTAATCATCAGGGAAATGCAAATAAAAACCACAATGAGATATCATCTCACACCTGTTAGAATAGCTATTATCAAAGAGACAACAAATAACAAGGAGAAAAAGGAACCTTGTACACTGTTGGTGGGGTTATAAATTGGTGGAGCCATTATGGTAAACTGTATGGAGTTTCCTTAAAATAAATGGAAAATAGAGCTATCATATGATCCAGCAATTCCACATCTGGATATTTATCTGAAGAAAATGAAAATATTAACTGGAAAAGATATATGCACCCCTATGTTCATTGCAGCACTATTTACAATAGCCAAGATTTGGAAACAACCTAGGTGTCCATTGATGGATGAATGGTTAATGATGTGGTAGATATATATAATGGACTACTGCTCAGCAGACAAAAAGGAAATCTTGCCATTTTCGGCAACATGGATGACGCCGAGTGTATTATAAGTGAAAAGGTCAGATGGAGAAAGACTGCCAATCATTGCCGTTTGATTTCACTTATATGTGGAAAGAAAACCCCCAAAAAGCCCATAGAAAAAGATAACAGGTAGGTGCTTGCTGGAGGTGAAGGGTGGGGAGGTAGGTGAAATGGATGAAGGGAGTCAAAAGGAAAAAACTTCCAGATATAAAATAAATAAGTCATGGCGAGGTACAGCATGGCGACTGTAGTTAGTAATACCGTGTTGCATAGTTGAAAGTTGCTAAGAGAGTAAATCTTAAAAGTTCTCATCAGAAGAAAAAAATTCTGTAACTATGTGTGATGACAGATGTTACCTGGACTTATTGTGGTGATTATTTTGAAATATTTACAAGTATTGAATCATTATTTTGTACACCTGAAAGTAATATAATGTATGTCTATTATACCTCAATTTTTTAAAAGTTGTTTTTTATATAAGAAATTACCTCTCCCCCCTTTATTGAGCAGCAAGTCTGAGTTTAAGTGCCATAAAAATTCTTATATCATGGTATCTTCCACTCTAGTTCTAATGTTCAGTGTTGGGTTCTTCCTTACCCTCTCATTTCTTTTGACCAATTCTTACTTATCTTTTAACACAACTCTGTCTCACTTTCTCTACTTCTATTACCCTCCTTTCACCTACCATTTTTGCCTGGCTAACATCCATGTCCCTTCTTTTGGTAGCTGCACCTTGATTTTCCTTTGGGGGCTCTCCCCCCATCCTTTTCCAAGTCAAATGGTTTGAGTGGAGCTGATGGAGGTAGGCATGCTACTTAAGCTCAACCAAGCCTGACGGATTAAGGGGTGGACATATGACCTAATCTCTTCCAGTAGGAGTCAGTCTCAGGGTTTAACTGTAACTGTTGGACAAAGAGGAGTGCTTGGCCTGTTGGGGTTTCTAAGCTGCTAGAATGTGAACCTAGAGCCACTGCTAGCCATCCTTGGCATCTCCTAGAAACAGCCAGCCTGAGAATAAAGCCAACCCAGAGAAGAACAAGAGAGTGAGGAAAGGGAGACCTTCTGATATCAGTAGGTCTAATCTGAAGCCAGCTTCAACCCTTAAAGAAGTCATAACTTTCCTGTTCTGCTTAAGCTAGAGTTGGGTTTCTGATACTGTTTCAACTGAAAATTACTGATTGATTCAGCATCTTTTCCACTAGTTTCAAAAGATGCTCCTCATCCCATCCTCCATTTCCTCCAGGACCTTGCTGTTTCCTCTTCTATCTTTCTATCTTCTCTTACTTCTGCTTTATGGACTCCTTCACTTCAGTATAAAGCATCCTTGAATGCTTTCTCATCCAAAAAAAAAAAAAAAAAAGCAAACAGCTCTCTCTCGACCCTGTGCAACCTTATATTTATTTACCCCTCTCCTTGAATTCTTATTCCAGGTTCTTTGTGAAATAGCCCTGTCTTAGTCTGTTTGGGCTGCTATAGCAAAATACCACAGATTGGGTAGCTTATAAATGACAAAAATCTATTTCTCACAGCTCTTCCGGCTGGGAAGTTCAAGGTCATGGTGCCAGCATGGTCATGTTCTGGTGAGAGCTCTTCCTGCTTCAGAGCTGGCTCCTTCTTACTGTGTCCTCACTTGGTGGAAGGGGCAAGGGATCTCTGTAGGGTTTCTTTTTATAAGAACACTAATCCCATTCATGAGGGCTCCACCCTCATGACCGAGGCACTTCCCAAAGGCCCCACCTCCTAATACTATCACAATGGGCATTAGGATTTCAACATATGAATTTTAGGGAAAAACAATCAGACCAGAGCAAGACCCTTACACTAAATATTTACTTCCTCACTTCTCATTCTCTTCCTAACCCATTACAATTTGACTTCCACTCCTATCTTCCCTTGAAACTGTTTTCAATAAGGTCAACAAAGACTTGCTAATAGTCCAATATTCAGGACAATTTTTAGTCCTGATCTTCCCGACCTTTCTGCTTCCCTAGAGGGCCCAGTGGAGGTCACATATCTGGAGTCTCAATGTAATACATTCATGGCATTTATAACCAGTCCTAATGAGGCTGAAGTCAATATTTTCTCCTGTCATGCCTTTATACACTTTTTCTCTAAGATGACTCAAAATCTATGCTATGGTGTTTAGCAGGCAACAGTAATATAGTTCTGGACTATACTTCCTTCTGGGAATGTAATTTTGCTTGGTGCTGTAGGGGTGAAGGTTATAAACTTTGTGAAGGAATGGCTAGTGTTGTGATAATCTTATGTGTCCTGTTGACCTTGTGGACACTGTTAAATGTAGAGCATATGAGAAACTTCAATTTGTGTCCATTCAACCTTGGTTGTCCTAAGGAATTACACTCATTGCATTAAAAGACAGTTTAGATGGCAACTATTGAAGGAATGCAGGTAGCTAAGAGACACTCCAGTCTGAGATTAAGAAATGCATGGGGAGTAAAGAATTGTTTGGGGCTTTTATCTTACTAGAGTAGGAGATTATAATTTTTTAAACTTTATCACTGAGATCTTAAATATGAGAGGTGGCTCATATCGTTCAAATCTGGGCATTACTACTTTTATGTTGCAGATTCCTCAACTACAGTTCTAGTCTAGACTTCTTTCTTGAGCTTCAGAGCCATGTATCCAGTGCCTGTTTATATACCCTCTTGGATGTCCTGTAGTCATCTCCAACTTGCATCATCAGTACAATCTGCTTTTCCTCCTGTACACCACTATCTTCCAGCTGCCAAGAAACCTAGGCATGGCTCTAGGTTCCTCTTTCCCTCAATTTCTCTTGCATCTGTCTACTACTTCTTGGTAGAATTTGCATTTCATTAGTTAGAAATCCTCCTGACTCTGGCCTTTGCCCTCCAATCACTGTTTAGACTAAAGCTAAGTAATCTTTAAAAGGCTGAAATTTGATTTTGTAAAGATTAATTTGATTAAAATAAATTAATCAAATTAATTTGATTTTGTTTAAAAATTTCCCAAGGACCTCTGTACAAACCTAAGACTTCTTAGCACAGTTTAACAGGGCCCTTTATCAACTCAGTTCTTGACCTTCCCTCTTTGAATGTTTCCATGCTTTCTCTGTTTCAGGGCCTTCTTCATACTGTTCCTCAGTAATCCCCTTTTTTTTTTCTACCTCTATTTCTTTTTCCTTGACTCATTTGTATGGGTTCTTCAGGACTCAGTTTGGTGACCTCAAAATTCAGGAAACCTCTTCCCTCTGACCATCCTTCCCAAGGCTGAATGGATCCACTCCAGGTTAATGATTATCATAGCACTTACCTCATGGTAATTATACTTGCCTTTTTTCCACTCTAACCTCCTTGGGGACAGAGACTTGTCTTGTTCATCTTAGCATATCAGCATTCTTATAAAGAGTTTTTTCAAGTGTACAAAATAGTAGTTCCAAAACAAAGTAAGAAAACAATTCTAATATTAGAATGGGTTGCATCTTACAGGGCAGAGCAGGCCCAGGGAAAAATATAGGAACTGTAGCTATGGCTCTTGATATGTAATCTTTAAATTAAAATAGAATTGGGAAATATATAAAAAACTATTCATTAATTCAGCAAATGAATGTGTTCAAATAGGTATTTGGTATCATGCAGAAGTATCTTTAGTTATACACAATTACGCGTTTGACTTATAATTAACAAAAACTCATAAACATAATAATTGTAACAATAGGTAATAATATTCATCAGTGCCAGGCATGCTAGGCACTTTGTTGGTTATTTCTTTTAATTTAATTTAAATTTCTTCTATTTAATATAAGTAAAACCATCATAAATTATACAGGACAAAAACAAAAACAACACCCAAATTTTGGAGTGTTTCTGGTATATTAGCTAAAAACTTTGTGAAATCAGCATAGATTTTGCTTTGCAACATTCAGGACATATTACTTCTATTCTTCATGTATTCCATGTCCCCAGGAGATAGCCATCTGAATAGTGGATTCCTGAAATGTATTTAGTGGTTGTTTTTAAAATGAGAAAACCAACAAAATGATTAATAACAACATTTTGCATTGTAGTCTTTTTACCTTTCAAAAGACACCTACATACAGTACCTTACATTTTATAGAAAAAAAAAAGTCATGTTGAAAGAAAATAGAAACCATTTGTCTGTCTTAAAGTATACCTTAATACAAATTTGATTTTGATGAGGCCAAACTAAGATGATGTAGTTAAGTGACTAGCTTCAAGCGTTCATTAGTGCTCCCTCCTAGGGGTGGGGAAAATGGGGCTGCTGAAATCAAGGGGCTGGTAGTTACATGGGAGTGGTGAACCGGGAAAGTTGGGGTGCACCTCCTAAATACTCAAGGGCTGCCCTTGGGGCCATGGAAACCACATTTTACCCATGACACAGAGGGGGTCTCTTCTTTTTAATCTCTGATAAACTTACTTCAGAAGGGAAAATATGCTATCTCCTTCACTGCCATCTTTCCAGGAGCCTCATTCTCACCACGCCAAACCTACTGGCACTGCTCACAGGGGAAAGGAGAGCACCTGTCATTGGTGATTGCACGGGCGGTTACACTGGCCTCTGTATCAGTGTGTAATTTTACAGGTTGTACTATGGATGACAAAGGAGCTACTCTGGGGAAAAGAGGTGTAATTCGGGTGAAACAATATTAATTGAAATATAACTATATGCAATAACTTTGTTAGCGTGTTGTTTTTAAGCCCATCTCCTATTAGTAACACTATAGAAAGGTTACTACTCTTTCCTTTTTCACCATATTATTTGGGTTGATTGATAGGCATTTAGATAAGTTGAATGAGTGTGTATAAAGATATAACAGGATTTTAAGATAAATCAAACAAGAAATTCTGGTACATAGAAAATTTAATTTGAAATAACTTAAAATATTTCATCAAGAAGTTTTAATTCTGTGCCTTGGCATCATACATTTAAGAAAATCTTTGGGCCTGATCTCAAATTAGTTCAGGTAAACAGATATAATCAAAACTTTATACGTGTGTGTATATATTTGTACACATATATGTATACATGTATGTGTGCATATACACACATACACACACACACGTATACATATGTTCAAGTTATACATGTATATATATTCAAGAGATATATATTCAAGATGCATATGTAGATTCAAGATATATATGTATATAATTCTTCCCTCACTCAGAGATGAAATTCTCTAATTTTACTCATGGCACATATTTTAGAAAAATTACTCCCAAAAGTCACACTTTAATCACATATGGAACAAATCTCTACTCTTCCACTTTTAGCTAGACTTCTTTAAGGTTAATTCAGACGTAGAATGAAACTCACTTTGTTGAATCCCAGAAGATTCTGAGCTGGAAGAAACCTAAGTATGCCCTTAAGCCTGTTTCCTGTCTTCAGGCAGACAGGTGAAATAAGCCACCAAGAGAGATGGTGGCTTTTTGTTCTTTACTTAAAAAGCTCTACTTCTCAACTACCAGGGTAGAAACATCTATTGAGTTTCTTAAAATAATCTTTCTGTTAGCTACAGACACAGAAAAGTAGCCATGCACAATTAAATTTTTGGCTTGCTTCCAGTCTGACTTTTTTTCTAGAAATCTTCCTCCACAGTTAGTAGCAATAGCAAGTATGGCAGGAGAAATGTGGTTCCCAATGGGAGTGAGATTATTTCAAATGGTTACATGTTCTCAGCAAAATGTTTTGTAGCACTTTCTCGGAGTGCACACTCTCCTTTAGTGTAGACCCAAAGACTTGTGTTCTCACATGAGTACAAACTTACTTGGGGGTTTCCAAAAGTCCCCCATACTTTCATTTTTGTGTGGCCTTTTAAAATGTAATTTTAAAAAATCCATGATTTACTAAATGTACCAAGTTGCTATTTAAAAATGGACGTATATGTCAATTTAGATTGTAAATTTGGGATTACAATGAAGCGTCAAGACCATAAAGAACACAAACATTTTATTTTTATAGGAGACCTGCACAGAAGGAACATATTTCTGTTGTGTGTGTATTTTTGTTTCCTTAGCTTGTCTCTCTTGTGTGCACAAAACTAGGAGAGGATGTTTCTCTTTATTTTGGTTTGGCTAAGGATGCTCATGATATAGTATATTTTAAGTGGCAAAAACTGTAGTTCTTAATCTATAAAGAAGAATTCTCTAGGTGAATAAATAAGAAAAATACCCAAAAATTAGGAAAATATGTAAACTCAAGTTATGAGGTATTTCAAAGATACAGTGCCAGTAAAAATTCTCTTTCCCACAATTTGCAACTGCCAGATCTCTTGCTTTAGTCTTTCTATGCTTACATCTGAAGAAATGCAGAAGAGTTGGAGATAAAAGCCCTTTTGTGTATGTGGGGGTTACAGTAGTTCAGGGAAGAGTCAGAAAAGGAAAGTCATAAAGCAATATTTAAATGTCTTTATATAAGAATAAAAATATTTCCTTAAAAAGTTGTTAAAAGATTTTCTTTCTAAAATCACTCAGTTTTATAGGGCATGTGATCGTCTGTGTGACACCTCTTTCCAGAGCAAGGTTTTCTTTGTTTTGTTTTGTTTTTTAAATACTAGGAAAGTATGACTTAGTCAAATTAGATTTTCCAAGCTATATTTAGTTTTACAGATGTGTTTAGTCCTGAATTCTGGGGAGAGTATGTATATAAGAAAAATCCCAGGAAACCCTTACACCTAACCCAAACACAGTTACTTTTAACACTGCACCATGATCTCTCAATTCCTGTAGCTTATTGCTTCCACAAACTAGAAATCCCTGAATTCTCTGTATCTAACTTCCTATGGCTAGAGTCTGAGAAACTGACCCACTATCATATTTTTTTCCTAAATAACCAAGTTTTTAAAGTTTATCAAAGATTTTTATCTTTTTCTGAGAGTTAAATATGTGTTTCTCTCACATAACAAGAATCAGGAATTCCCAGCAAACAGATTTCATTATGCATATACCAGAAACATGCAGATCACACATGAATATGCTTCAGTCAACATACATAGGCATTCACTCAAGGGGTAAACCAGTAATGAGCCAAACATACATACATGTGCAAATGTACAATTAACAGCAAATTATTTTAGATCCTAATGTCCTTTGAATATTAAAAATGAGCCAGGAGACAGCTCCTGTGACATTTGTATGCTCTAGATTACAACTTTCATGTAGAAGTAGCTTCATATGACATCTCGTGAATTTCGTATTGCACAGCAAAGGACCATGCTGAATATCATGCCAAATATCTGAAACAGAAGGAACCACTTATTAATGACTTTCAAATGATGAAAATTGATTTTAAAAAAAGGCCAGCAAACTGCTTGCATGTTTAACTCATGTTGACAAATAATTATAAGCAATAATTACTGAATATAAGTGACACTTTTATATGTGCTACTTAATTATGGCTACTGGTTAAAGACTTCCGTTAACTGCTTAAAATACATTCCTATTTTATTATTGTTAAAAAGTAGCAAGACTCTGGTTTAAGAAAATGACTCTATTTCTAGCTTATAGGGCAGTTCTTAATAATTATAAAAGACTAATACACTACTGGTTTTAGAATTTTATATTTCAGGTTAATCCCAGATCTAATTTATATATATATTTTTTTGAAATTCTGAATTTTATTTTTTTTTATACAGCAGGTTCTTATTAGTCATCCATTTTATACACATCAGTGTATACATGTCAAACCCCATCTCCCAATTCATCACACCACCACCCCACCACCCCGCCACTTTCCCCCCTTGGTGTGCACACATTTGTTCTCTACATCTGTGTCTCAATTTCTGCCCTGCAAACCAGTTCATCTGTACCATTTTTCTAGGTTCCACATATATGCGTTAGTATACGGTATTTGTTTTTCTCTTTCTGACTCACTTCACTCTGTATGACAGTCTCTAGATCTATCCATGTCTCTACAAATGACCCAATTTCATTCCTTTTTATGGCTGAGTAATATTCTATTGTATATATGTACCACATCTTTATCCATTCGTCTGTCGATGGGCATTTAGGTTGCTTCCATGTTCTGGCTATTGTAAATAGTGCTGCAATGAACATTGGGGTGCATGTGTCTTTTTGAATTAAGTTTTCTCTGGGTATATGCCCAGTGGGATCACTGGGTCATATGCTAATTTTATTTTTAGTTTTTTAAGGAAACTCCATACTGTTCTCCATAGTGGCTGCATCAATTTACATTCCCAGCAACAGTGCAAGAGGGTTCCCTTCTCTCTGCACCCTCTCCAGCATTTGTTGTTTGTAGATTTTCTGATGATGCCCATTCTAACTGGTGTGAGGTGATACCTCATTGTAGTTTTGATTTGCATTTCTCTAATAATTAGTGATGTTGAGTAGCTTTTCATGTGCTTCTTGGCCATCTGTATGTCTTCTTTGGAGAAATGTCTATTTAGGTCTTCTGCCCATTTTTGGATTGGGTTGTTTGTTTTTTCAATATTGAGCTGCATGAGCTGTTTATATATTTTGGAGATTAATCCTTTGTCCATTGATTCCTTTGCAAATATTTTCTCCCATTCTGAGGGTTGTCTTTTAATCTTGTTTGTAGTTTCCTTTGCTGTGCAAAAGCTTTTAAGTTTCATTAGGTCCCATTTGTTTATTTTTGTTTTTATTTCCATTACTCTCAGAGGTGGATCAAAAAAGATCTTGCTGTGATTTATGTCAGTGTTCTTCCTATGTTGTCCTCTAAGAGTTTGATAGTGTCCAGTCTTACATTTAGGTCTCTAATCCATTTTGAGTTTATTTTTGTGTATGGTGTTAGGGAGTGTTCTAATTTCATTCTTTTACATGTAGCTGTCCAGTTTCCCCAGCACCACTTATTGAAGAGACTGTCTTTTCTCCATTGTATATCCTTGCCTCCTTTGTCATAGATTAGTTGTCCATAGGTGCGTGGGTTTATCTCTGGGCTTTCTATCCTGTTCCATTGATCTATATTTCTGTTTGACAGAGATTGAACTGAATCTGTAGATTGCTTTGGGTAGTATAGTCATTTTCACAATATTGATTTTTCCAATCAAAGAACATGGTATATCTCTCCATCTGTTGGTATCATCTTTAATTTCTTTCATCAGTGTCTTATAGTCTTCTGCATACAGGACTTTTGTCTCCCTAGGTAGGTTTATTCCTAGGTATTTTATTCTTTTTGTTGCAATGGTAAATGGGAGTGTTTCCTTAATTTCTTTCTGATTTTTCATCATTAGTGTATAGGAATGCAAGAGATATCTGTGCATTAATTTTGTATCCTGCAACTTTACCAAATTCATTGATTAGCTCTAGTAATTTTCTGGTGGCACCTTCAAGATTCTCTGTGTATAGTATCGTGTCATCTGCAAACAGTGACACTTTTACTTCTTCTTTTCCAATTTGAATTCCTTTTATTTCTTTTTCTTCTCTGATTGCCATGGCTAGGACTTCCAAAACTATGTTGAATAATAGTGGTGAGAGTGGACATCCTTGTCTTGTTCCTGATCTTAGAGGACATGCTTTCAGTTTTTAACCATTGAGAATGATGTTTGCTATAGGTTTGTCGTATATGGCCTTTATTATGTTGAGGTACGTCCCTCTATGCCCACTTTCTGGAGAGTTTTTATCATAAATCGGTGTTGAATTTTGTCAAAAGCTTTTTCTGCATCTATTGAGATGATCATATTGTTTTTATTCTTCAATTTATTAATAGATGGTGTATCACATTGATTGATTTACATATATTGAAGAATCCTTGCATCCCTGGGATAAATCCCACTTGATCATGGTATATGATCCTTTTAATGTGCTGTTGGATTCTGTTTGCTAGTATTTTATTGAGGATTTTTGCATCTATATTCATCAGTGGTATGGGTCTGGAATTTTCTTTTTTTGTAGTATCTTTGTCTGGTTTTGGTATCAAGGTGATGGTGGCCTCATAGAATGAGTTTGGGAGTGTTCCTTCCTCTGCAATTTTTTGGAAGGATTTGAGAAGCATGGGTATTAGCTCTTCTCAAAATATTTGATAGAATTCACCTGTGAAGCCATCTTGTCCTGGACTTTTGTTTGTTGGAAGATTTTTAATCACAGTTTCAATTTCATTACTTGTGATTGGTCTGTTCATATTTTCTATTTCTTCCTGGTTCAGCCTTGGAAGGTTACACCTTTCTAAGAATTTGTCCATTTCTTCCAGGTTGTCCATTTTATTGGCATAGAGTTGCTTGTAGTAGTCTCTTAGGATGCTTTGTACTTTGGCGGTGTCTGTTGTAACTTCTCCTTTTTCATTTCTAATTTTATTGATTTGAGCCTCTCCCTCTTTTTCTTGATGAATCTGGCTAATGGTTTATCAATTTTGTTTATCTTCTCAAAGAACCAGCTTTTAGTTTTACTGATCTTTGCTATTTTTTTCTTCATTTCTTTTTCATTTATTTCTGATCTGATCTTTATGATTTCTTTCCTTCTACTAACTTTGGGTTTTGTTTGTTCTTCTTTCTCTAGTTCCTTTAGGTGTAAGGTTAGATTGTTTATTCGAGATTTTTCTTGTGTCTTGAGGTAGGCTTGTATTGCTATAAAATACCCTCTTAGAACTGCTTTTGCTGCATCCCATAGGTTTTGAATGGTTGTGTTTTCCTTGTCATTTGTCTCTACGTATTTTTTTTATTTCCTCTTTGATTTCTTCAGTCACCTCTTGGTTATTTAGTAATGTAATGTTTAGCCTCCATGTGTTTGTGTTTTTTACATTTTTTTCCCTGTAATTGATTTCTAATCTCATAGTGTTGTGGTCATAAAATATGCTTGACACGATTTCAATTTTCTTAAATTTACCAAGGCTTGATTTGTGACCCAAGATGTGATCAGTCCTGGAGAATGTTCCATGTGCTGCTGTTTTTGGATGGAACGTCCTATAAATATCAATTAAATCTATCTGGTCTATTGTGTCATTTAAAGCTTCTGTTTCCTTATTAATTTTCTGTCTGGATGATCTGTCCACTGGTGTAAGTGAGGTGTTAAAGTCCCCCACTATTATCATGTTACTGGTGATTTCCTCCTTTATAGCTGTCAGCAGTTGCCTTATCTATTGAGGTGCTCCTACGTTGGGTGCATATATATTTATAATTGCTATATCTTCTTCTCGGATTGATTCCTTGATCATTATGTAGTGTCCTTCTTTGTCTCTTGTAACATTCTTTATTTTAAAGTCTATTTTATCTGATATGAGTATTGTTACTCCAGCGTTCTTTTGGTTTCCATTTGCATGGAATATCTTTTTCCATCTCCTCACTTTCAGTCTGTATGTATCCCTAGGTCTGAAGTGGGTCTCTTGTAGACAGCATATATATGGGTCTTGTTTTTGTATCCATTCAGTGAGCCTGTGTCTTTTGGTTGGAGCATTTAATCCATTCACATTTAAGGTAATTATCTATATGTATGTTCCTGTTACCATTTTCTTAATTGTTATGGGTTTGTTTTTTTAGGTCCTTTTCTTCTCTTGTGTTTCCCACTTAGAGAAGTTCCTTTAGCATTTGTTGTAGAGCTGGTTTGGTGGTGCTGAATTCTCTTAGCTTTTGCTTGTCTGTAAAGCTTTTGATTTCTCTGTCGAATCTGAATGAGATTCTTGCCAGGTAGAGTAATCTTGGTTGTACGTTCTTCCTCTTCATTACTTTAAATATGTCATGCCACTCCCTTCTGGCTTGTAGAGTTTCTGCTAAGAAATCAGCTGTTAACCTTATGGGAGTTCCCTTGTATGTTATTTGCCATTTTTCCCTTGTTGCTTTCAATAATTTTTCTTTGTCTTTAATTTTTGTCAATTTGATTACTATGTGTCTTGGCATGTTTCTCCTCGGGTTTATCCTGCCTGGGACTCTCTGCACTTCCTGGACTTGGGTGGCTACTTCCTTTCCCATGTTAGGGAATTTTTCAACTATAATCTCTTCAAATATTTTCTCAGGTCGTTTCTCTCTCTCTTCTCCTCCTGGGACCCCTATAATGCAAATGTTGTTGCGTTTAATGTTGTCCCAGAGGTCTCTTAGGCTATCTTCATTTCTTTTCATTCTTTTTTCTTTATTCTGTTCTGCAGCAGTGAGTTCCACCATTCCGTCTTCCAGGTTACTTATCCGTTCTTCTGCCTCAGTTATTCTGCTATTGATTCCTTCAAGTGCAATTTTCATTTCAGTTATTGTATTGTTCATCTGTTTGTTTTTTAATCCTTCTAGGTGTTTGTTCTTTAATTCTTCTAGGTCTTTGTTAAACATTTCTTGCATCTTCTCAATCTTTGCCTCCATTCTTTTTCTGAGGTCCTGCATCATCTTCACTATCATTATTCTGAATTCTTTTTCTGGAAGGTTGCCTATCTCCACTTCATTTAGTTGTTTTTCTGGGGTTTTATCTTGTTCCTTCATCTGGTACATAGCCCTCTGCCTTTTCATCTTGTGTATCTTTTTGTGACTGTGGTTTTTGTTCCACAGGCTGCAGGATTGTAGTTCTTCTTGCTTCTGCTGTCTGCCCTCTGGTGGATGAGGCTATCTAAGAGGCTTGTGTAAGTTTCCTGATTGGAGGGACTGGTGGTAGGTAGAGCTTGGTGTTGCTCTGGTGGGCAGAGCTCAGTAAAACTTTAATCTGCTTGTCTGCTGATGGGTGGGGCTGGGTTCCCTCCCTGTTGGTTGTTTGGCCTGAGGCGACCCAATACTGGAGCCTACCTGGCTCTTTGGTGGGGCTAATGGCAGACTCTGGGAGCCCTCATGCCAAGGAGTACTTCCCAGAACTTCTGCTGCCAGTGTCCTTGTCCTTACAGTGAGCCACAGCCACCCCCTGCCTCTGCAGGAGACCCTCCAACACTAGCAGGTAGGTCTGGTTCAGTCTCCTATGGGGTCACTGCTCCTTCCCCTGGGTCCTGATGTGCACACTACTTTGTGTGTGCCCTCCAAGAGTTGAGTCTCTGTTTACCCCAGTCCTATCAAAGTCCTGCAATGAAATCCTGCTAGGATTCAAAGTCTGATTCTCTAGGAAATCCTTTTCCCGTTGCCAGACTGCCAGGTTGGGAAGCCTGACGTGGGGCTCAGAACCTTCACTCCAGTGCGTGGACTTCTGTGGTATAAGTGTTCTCCAGTTTGTGAGTCACCCACCCAGCAATTATGGGATTTGATTTTACTGTGATTGCACCCCTCCTACTGTCTCACTGTGGCTTCTCCTTTGTCTTTGGATGTGGGGTATCTTTTTTGGTGAGTTCCAGTGTCTTCCTGTTGATGACTATTCAGCAGTTAGTTGTGATTCCAGTTTTCTTGCAAGAGGGAGTGAGTGCACGTCCTTCTCCTCCACCATCTTGAACCAATCTCTCTCATTTATATTTTTATTTTGGAAAATGTGTTTGTAACCACTTGTTGTTTAAATACACTTGCGGTCTAAATAGTTTTCTATTGCTGGCAAAGCTTTGAATTTTTGCAACAGTGACCACATATTAAAAAGCGGAGCATCTCTTCATTCCCAGTTCATTTTTAAGTGTACATGATGCTTTATTATTTAACTCAATAGTTTTACCAAAGCATAAATTGAGGTGTTTGTACTATGGTACTACTGACATCTTCTACCACTTGGATGCTTCTTTGAAAAGACAAATATTTAGCAAAATTAATAGCTACTTAAATGGTTTGAAGAGAAGGACGCCAAAAAATCCTTCTTGTCCTCAATCACTTCTCCTATTAATTTTGCAGAGCCTATGATATGCTATCTGTAGGTGCGTTGTTCATAGACTACTCTCAATGTTTGTTCAAAGAAATCAGTACCATAGCTCTCTGATTCTCTCCTCAATCCCATCCTACATTAGACTAGGACCTGTAAATGCTGAATTTAAAAAGGCATGTGTTATCAGTTATTGGAGGGGAAGGGGCAGACTTAAGGGAATAGCTGGGATCAGGGCTCCAAGCTTCTGGCTGACAGAACTCAGTACCAGTGTGTGGCAGGGGAGACACCTAATGGACATTTTGTTAACTGATTACATTGTGAAACTCTTACCTTATGAAGAAAGGAATTAAAGAAGAAACTCTGGGCGTTTCTTCTGAGGCAAGATGGCCAACGCAGGGCCTTCCCCTTTTCCGTGGTTGTAAGGTTGGATGCAACCCCTGCTTAGACCTCGTTGTACCTAAAGGGATCCCCTCAGAAAGAAACTCATCCTGCCACTGTCATGAGTCAGGGGTGACCACTTCTAGAATGTTCATTCCTTGAGACTGTAGAATTGTCGGGAGCATCTATTTGATACCTCCGTTAATGCAGAACATTTTCAAATCTTCTGCCTCAGAATTGTCCTTGGGGAGCCGCAGACTGGCCATCAGGCTAGCCCCAGGGTGGGTGGGGAGACCCTGAGAGAAGTCCCTGGATTGGGAGGTCCTCAGCATAGTATTTTCACCCACTGCTCCAGCCCTCTGTGCTCTAAATACAGAAAGGAGGGAAGAGGATTGTGTGTCCCCTGAGAACTGCCAATTCATTGATTTCCTCACAATTCCATTGCCCCTGCCTCAGCTTAGGCCATGAATTAATCTACATAGGAGGGCTAGAGGGTAAGTACTATCTTAGCATTAGCTATTATCACTCAGCCCCTGGACAATGGGAATCACCTCTTTATGGGCTTACCTGACTCCAATCTTACTTCCCTCCAACTTCACCTCCACACTGCACTACAGGTCCTTCCAAACCTGGGTGGCTCCCCTCTACCTTAAGAATAAAGCCCAACCTATCAAAAAGTCACACAAATGACACAATTATGTGGACCCTCATAACCCTCTCCAGTGTCATCTCTTGCTACACTTACCATAGCCCTCTGCCCCTATGAACTCTTGCACACTCTTCTTTTGTACTTTAGAAGTACTGAGCTACCTACGGGTGCAAGGATGCACTATGCTTCACACTTCCATATATAGTTCGCCTGGATTCAGGGTTTGGGAACACTCAGATTCTATGTAGAGCTAGCATTTATTGAGTGCTATGTTCCAGACCCTTTATATGAATTAATTCCTAATAATACTTTATATGTATCATTCCACTTAACTGTCACAACAATTTTCTGAGGTTGATATATTAAAATCCCCATTTTGCAGATGAGGGAATTGAGACATAGAGAAATTAAGAAACTTTCCAGTGACCCCAGGGTTTGTAAGTAGTGGAGCTAGCAGTTGAATCCAGAAAGTGGGATGCCAGAGTTTGCACTGTTAATCACTACACTGTACTACCTCTGCAAATCATAGGTGAGAGAGTTTAATCTATGTTGTCTTAAATATCTAACAAAGGAAGAGACCCAGAATTAAAAATCACTCATCTAGTTTAAGCTTGGTGACCTTAAAATGGGAAGTTATTGCAATGATAAACTCAAAGTCATAATTAGCTTAAAATTGAAATTTGTACCATATTTGAGAGAACTAAGTATTGATGTATCTAATTAGCTTTGTTCTTAGATATTCTGTCAAAAACATCTTTGTCTTTTATGAAAAATCTCTCCTAAGATACTGCCATATCACACTTGAAGAGAAATAAGATACAAAGGTTCAAGGCTTCTTAGGGGTCAAAGAAGGTATGTTCTGGAACTTTCTTACCGTGAGGGCTGCGATTCCAATACCGACAATTCCGATGAGCTGGAGCTTAACACTGATTATGCTCTCAATTTCATCAATGCAATTCTGTTTTGGAAAAGAAAAAGTCAGGAATAACAGCTGATGGTATGTGTGAATCATCACCCTGATCCAATCCTTTCCTTCTCTACAGAGCATCCTGTGAGAGTTAACCCATGTCAGCTTCTGTTCATATTTAAACCATTCCTCCCAGATATCACTCTGATAACTTTAAAGCAAAAGTGTTGTTGGGGGAAAAATGACAATACTCTCCTTTTGGTGGAATTTTCCTATTTAGGCCAATGGCTCCTTCAAAGCCCTGAAACCTGGCTGGATGAAGCTATTCTGGGACCTGAGGCATTAAAAATTTGGGGCCTCTTCTTACTTTCAGCAAATAAAAAAAAGTAAAATAGCCCCAAAATAATAGCCCCTTGCTTTTGGATTGTCATTTATAGTTTAAAAGACTTTCTACATACTTAGTCCAATTTACTATGCAAGGTAGGCATCACCTAGTAAGAAGCTATAAAGTCTGTATAGGTTCAAATTTAACAAAGGAAAGCCAAGTGTTGGGGGCTGGAGGACTGTTCTCTTCTATGGCGGCCGGGCTGGGTGGCCCTATTCTTTCATCTGTGTCCCATAGAGACCTGTGCAGTGTAGGTCCAAAGAACCTTCACGGATGGAGGAATATTGGACAGGGGGCAGAACAGATCACTTGTAATTGCAATTAGTTTCTCCAACTTCTATTTGGTCCTCTTAAATACAGAGGTATTCTCTCAACCCAATTTTGTCCTTAGGCTGCCCAGGTCCTTTTACTTGTCAATGGTCAGCTCTCTCTGATACCCACCTAAGCTATATGAAACTCTTACTGCTATCCTCACATCTCCTGTCATACTTCATTCATTCATCATTCATTCATTCAACAAATATTTCTTGAGCATCTGCCTTGCATTAGTCACCAGAATGGCATGGTGGATATGGAGAAAATAAGACATGGTTACTTTTGCCCTCAGGGAGCTCATAGTTTAGAGAAGGACACAGACTCACAAAAATAATTACAATACATTCTGGTAAAAGTTGAGAACCACTGCTCTAGATAGTGGCTCCCTTACTTATTGGAGTCAAGCTGTAGAAATTCTTCCAACCTTCCTCACCTGCACCTATAAACTTACACACTCCATTCATCCGGTGGCAGGTACTGCTGTAGGCAGTGAGCATGCAGATGAGAAAGGCACACTGCTTCTTACTTCCTTCTCATTAAAGCCAAAGAAGTGTCCTGCTCTGCTGAAAGTCAACCCCTTTGCTGGCTCTGGATCTTATTCTCTCATCTCCTCAGGAAGCCTGTGCTGTCACTTATCTCCTTTCCTTCCTACACGCTCAGCCTCTCCTTCTCTGTAGCCAAGCAGGCATCTGAAGTCTTAGCTTCCTCCCTTTCACTCCCCACTCACACCCAGTCAGTCACCTGTGCCTGTTGACTCTACCCTTGGACGTCTCTGTATCTGTCGCCTCCTCTCCCTCCCCACGGTATGTGACTTGCTCTAGTTCCTCATCCTCTCTCACCAGGAAAAATGTAAGTGCCACCTAAGCGGCCTCCCTCCATTGATCTCCAGCCTTCTGTTCTACCAGTCATACCCAGCAGCCTGAGTGCTCTTCCAACAATGCAAAACGGATTATGTTAATCCTCTGCTAAAAGCAACGGCTTCTCCAAACTTCCAGGTATAAAACCATGCCATTGCCTGCCTTTCAAAAATGTCCCTCACCATTCCCTCTGGACTCCCTATTCTCCTCCAGTCCTGGAATTGCATGCTTCTGTTCTTGCTGCTTTCTGGGCCTGGCATGACCTTCCTTTGTCAAAACTTGGCTCAAGGATCCATCCTCTGCAAGCTTTCCTGACTCCACTGTATTCTGTACAGATATTGTGCTCTGCCGAGCATCAGCTCCCTTGACTAGTCTGTGAGGCCACTGAGGCAGGGACCATGTGTTTTTCACCTTAGAGTTTCCAGAACGTGGCATCGTGCCTGCCACGCAGCACTTAATAAAGGAAGCATTTATCAGTGTGATGACACCCCTGGAAGGGTACGGGGCAACATCCTTAGGGTGCATACCTCTGGCCCTGGTGAGCTTAATTAATGCCACTGCATTTGCATCATTACTGGCAAGTCAGCACACCATTATTCCCCAGGGTACCAGGAGCCTGGGACTCATCATTGCTTCACTTATTCTGCATAGAATAAAGCTGAGGCTAGAAGCCACTGGCAGAGGGCCTCCCAGAATCACCCCTCCACCCCAAGGGCAAGAACCATCTTAACACCACAGGCAGGACAGGAACCTGGTAGAGAAGCTTACCTTGTGTCCTAGGAGCTCCTTTGGGCAGGTCGGTTGGACCTGTTCAGAGCTTTCTTTTCCACAGCACTGAAACTAGAGAGTCCGAAAAGAGCTTTTAGCACAAGGAGGGAGAAGCTGAAGCTACAAATCCGGGTATCACTGCTAAGGACTGGGTGTGCTGAGGCCGCAAAACAGCTCTGAGGCCTGACACTACAACCTAGTGGCCGTTCTGGAGACAGTATGAAGAGTAACATAGTCGTGCTAGCAAAGCAAGAAACGACTTCACCAAATCTGTCCAAGTTTTATGACAGGAGGTGACTGAAGGCAATGCAAACAAGGCAAGAAGCTAGCTGACAGTGCCTGTGTAAACTGCTGTTCTTTAGACAGGAGTTAGGTCTTTAGATTCTTCCTTTCAGCCTTGCTGAATAGCTAAAGTTTTATGAGCTTCAGGAAAGGCTCATTAACTGAGGAGAGCCTGGGACGGACAGGAGAAGTGGCCACAGTAAACCCCAGGGGCTAAAAGACTGGGGCTTGAATACTGGCCAGCCAACAGGTGTCCTGCCTTACGGCTGCCCTTCAAAGACAAAGGAACCTGTGTGCTGTCTGATGTCCCTGGGGCAGCTGCAGCTGAACAGGATAAATGGTTGGCACCTTCCAGGACAGACCTGTGACAGACAAGAACTGGGCTACCTTAAAACACCTGGCCAGGAGTTCATAGCTACTTCTCCATATGACAGGGGCTGAGAAATCAGGACGACACTGGCCTGGCCCATCTCCCCCGGGGAGCCTTCCTTGATGAACTGCCTATAGCTTGGAACACTGCACTGACAGCACGTTCTCACAGGATGTCCCGGGAGAAAAGCAGCTTGCCTGTCTCATGTGCCCCTTCATTTTACAACTGAGGGTGCTGAGTGAGGATCAGGAAGGCAAGGAACTTGCTCCAGGTCACAAAGCTGTTCCATGGCACAGCTGCAGCTAGAGATAAGCTTTTCTGTCTTGAAGGTCACAGCTGTTTCTGTTACATCACAAGGCCACTCTTGTTTTTGTTTTTTTTTGTTTTTGTTTTTGTTTTTGTTTCTTGCAGTACGCGGGCCTCTCACTGTTGTGGCCTCTCCCGTTGCGGAGCACAGGCTCCGGACACGCAGGCTCAGCGGCCATGGCTCACAGGCCCAGCCGCTCTGCGGCATGTGGGATCTTCCCGGACCGGGGCACGAACCCGTGTCCCCTGCATCGGCAGGCAGACTCTCAACCACTGCGCCACCAGGGAAGCCCCACAAGGCCACTCTTGAGAGAACCTGATATTTACTTGGGCGGCTGTCTCGATGTTCTTATTTGTGTGTGCTCTTCTGTCTCTTTGGGTGCATGTCCTGACTTCCTTCTGTCGACTCTGTGTTAGGCCTCTTTCTCTTCTAGGTTCTACACATAATGCAAACCATGGCTCCCACGAAGGCAGACATATAGTGCAGTTGCCTGGCTTCACTCAATTTATTTTTAATCTAGGTGATTAGAGAGAACCTGGCTCATGTATAATCTTTAGAAGATTCCATTTTAAGGAAGAAGTAAAGTCACTTACTGTTGAGTGGAAGGTGATGAGAGTCCCATTTCCCTTTTCCCTGTCTCTAAGGTAATCGTTATAAGCTTCTTCATACATGGTCTGAACATGTCGTATAGCCTGAAAAATTACCAGGAAAACAAGAGGACGTGAGTGAGAAGTTTCAAACGTTCCCCTTTCATCAAGAATAAAGCCCCTCTTCCCTACCCTTCAAAAATATGGCATTTCCATATGTTTATCTGGATTTAAGGGTAATTCTGCCTATATGGAACAGATTATAGATTCTGGAGTTTCTAATATGCTTCTGAAGATGGAAGGATAGATTAACCAAGAATAATTTTCATAGACTAGAAAGATTTCTTAGAGTGGAGGTTCTCAACCTGGAATGGACCTCAGCAACAGCTGAACCCCAGATTCCTGGGCCCCAGCCAGGTGATTCTGGTGCACAGCCAGGGTAGAAACCTATGCATTCTTGGGACTCCATTAGTTACAAGTACTCAAGTCTTTTCACGACATGGTTTAAAAGGTGTTCACGACCAAGGAAAACTGTTTCAGCATTCAAATATCATAGAAAATGTAGAGAATGCTTTTTCTAATATAATTGCATGTGATCCCCAAATCCATAGGCTCTCAAGAAGTCATAAGATCCAATTCCTCTAACCTACACATATAACCAGCTACTTCAGAAAAATTCCAGAGGAGTTGACATTTACTTATTCTACATGTTTACCGTTTTTAAAATCTAAAATAAGGTCATAAACACAATATTGATGGCACATGAATTTATGTAAAATACAGTAAACTTAAGATTCTATTCTTCCTCCTTTTCCATTTCACTCCTCTCTTCCCCACTGCATGTTTACACTTAAAAAGACCCCTTCCTCTGTGGATTCTCCTGATAACCTATTCTGCTCACCTATAGTTTGAGCAAAAATCTTAACAAACTGGCTTCACTGGCACACAGGAGGCTGCCTATAGTCTTTGAGGACGACCTGGCCTCTGCCCAGGCCAAACCCTAAGGACAAAGGACAGGCTAACAAGGGATGAGAATGCGTGTTCTTCCCCATCCTTCTTTCTCATACCTGCAATCTATCTCCTCCCACATTCCAAACAGGATCATCTTAATTAGAAATCCTTTTGTTACAAAAAACATAGGCCCCTCTATATATCTAATGAAAGCTAGGAACTATCTCCCCAGAAATATGTGTGCACCTATATGCACGCACACACATACACACATATGCTAAAGTCCACACCACACTCCTAGGTTAAAAAGTTCTGCATAAACGATTATTGTGGGGGTTATTTGGCTTTGGACTATCACTGTGGGTACCAATATTCTCATGACCTTTGCCGTAAAGAGAACACTTTAACCATCGTTAAAAAACAATTATAAGTAATATTTACTTACTACATCCTTGCCTATAAAAGCAAATACTCCAGTGGTTATTTCAGCAGCAAATATCACCAATAGGCAGGTAAAAAACTGTAGAGGAGAGAAAATACTAACTTCATTAATTCAGTACCTTTTCAGTTTACTTAACCTCTTTGACTCTAGTTCCTTTTGAAAAACACTAGGCAAGGTTATTAGTTTGAAGAGATCTAGCAGGAAGCATTTGGCCCCTTAGTTCATTCGTAGTTTGTTCACACATTCATTCACTCATTAATTCATTCAGCAATTGTTTATTGAGCATTTGCTCTGTGCCAGGTACTGTCCTTGATACTGGGTATACAGTGGTGAATAAGATAAGATCTCAGGGCCTCTGCTCTCAGGGACCTTATAGTAGAGAGAGGAGGATATGATAAATGAGTAAGCAATAAAAGAGTAAGTTAATTTCAGAGAGTGATATAGAAATCCCACAACCTAGAACAGCGCCCGGCACCCATATGTTCAGTGACTACTTGATGAACAAAAGAGATTCTATAAAGATATAAAATAAGACCAGAAGATAGAGAGTGGCTGGTGGGACTGGGTTTGGGGAGGGGGTGACTTGAGACTGTGTGGGTCTGGATGGCTTCCCTGAGGAGGTGGAAGTGGAGGTGAAGGGTGTCCTTCTGGACAGATTTCTGTTCCAATCTCAGGGTCTGCTCTGATTAAACTAAGTTCAGTGATAAACAAGACCTGAGATGCTCAGCAACAGGGGAAAGAGAAAGAATAGAGAACTGACGGAATGAGTTAGAAATCTTACATGGCTAGAGATCAGGAGAAGGGCTTCCCTGGTGGCGCAGTGGTTGAGAATCTGCCTGCCAATGCAGGGGACACGGGTTCGAGCCCTGGTCTAGGAAGATCCCACATGCCGCTGAGCAACTGGGCCCATGCACCGCAACTACTGAGCCTGCGCATCTGGAGCCTTGCTCCGCAACAAAAGAGGCCGCGATAGTGAGAGGTCTGCGCACCGTGATGAAGAGTGGTCCCCGCTCGCCGCAACTAGAGAAAGCCCGTGCGCAGAAACGAAGACCCAACACACCCCCCAAATCAATCAATCAATGAATAAATTTATTTAAAAAAAGAGAGAGATCAGGAGAAGCAGCCACAGTTCAAACACCAAAGGTTGCAATGAGTAAGGAGAGGCCGCCTAATAAAACTGCCATTTCTCCTCATGGAGAAACACAAAAACTTTCTTCCTGCTCCTCTTCTTTCTTAGGTCACACTGGCACTGGATGTATAGCAGTTAACGGAAATTATTTCATTTTTTTTTTTTAAAACAAGAGGCTACTAAACTAAATAGGCTTAAAATAAACCACAAGAGGTATGGTTGTTTAAATTACTGATCTCAAACAGCAGTACTTTTCTTATAGATAACAGTACTTCCCTGACTATGGGAATCTTGTAGCTGCCTCACTCACTGTGAAATATTATTAGGCACTTTTTCTCCCAAAACATCTTCACACTAATGACCTATTTTTTGTTTTTTTTCACATTTTCCACAGAGGTAGGGACAAAGAGAACGTCCAGCTCCCTTCAGGCCAAGTCCCTCCCCACCTCGCCCCACTTACAGATCCGAGAACACACTGGGACTCCCGCGTGGCTCCACAGCACCCGAGGAAGCCCACGGCCATCATCAGGGCCCCCGCTCCAACCAGCACATAGAGCCCTGGGGGAAGAGGCCAGAGAAGATGCTGACTACTCAAGATCGGCTCCCTCCCCGGCACCAATGCTGCCAGCCCAGCCTCTGCCACCACTGCCCCAGGCATCTGGCCCTGCAGGGCCTTCAGTTGTTAATATGATAAAGGTAACCCTTGTGGAAGGCTTCTTGCTGAGAGCTTCATACACCTGACTTCATATATCCTGCACAAGGATCCTGAGAGGTAGGGGCTGCTGTAATCCCCAGAGAACAAAGAAAGCCCATGCTTACAGAGGTGAAGGGAGCCGCCCAGGCTCACACAACCAGCGAGGATGGGAAATCGCCTTTGTCCCACAGCTTACGCTTAGTCATCTGCAAGTGCCTCCTACGTGCCATGCACTTCACCTCCCAGATCTCCGCCACCCCTGTAAAGTGGGCGTTAATACCATGCACAGAGATTGGCGACAGTGGATCCAGGGGCGGTGAGGAGCCAGTGCCAGAGCTGGGACGTGAACCCCTGCTGTCCTAGGAGCCCATGGCCCTCATGGCACTCTGGAATTCGTGGCTGTCCCCATCTCATGAGAGGCCCTGGGGACAAAGTGTCTGGGACGGGAGGGGACCGTTGATCTGTCCAGGCTCAGATGGAGAAGCAGGGAGTGGGTAGAACGGAAGAGGGGAGTTTTAGTCAAGGAGAGGGGTGGAGGGCACAGCGATGAGACAATATGGTTTTGTGTGAATGATAAACTCTAGAAGCAGTACCATATACACTGGATGCACGCAAGGTGGTAAGTGTTACAAGAAAATAGCCAGTGAGGGGAGGTGATAAGGTAATATGTACCAAATAATGTTATTATTAATATAATATTAGCTACATTTATTTTAAGGGCTTATTTTCTCCAGGCACTACTCTAAGGACCTAGCACAGATTTATTAATTTAATCTTCATGAAGCAGGTACCATTATTATCTCCATTGTTTTAGACAGAGGAACTGGGCCCCCAAAGGTTAAGTGACTTGCCCAAGATCATAGAGCTGGGATAAAAACACCCATCTGCCTCTAAAGCTAGTTCATCACCATTATCCCATCCTGCCTCTCCAACAATAACAGCGGCCTTAACTCGGGTGGTCGTTTCACTTAGTTCTGAAGTCAAGCCACAGGAACAGCTGTTCCACAGAGAAAGAGAAGGGCAGAAATGTCTTGTTCTGAGAGAAATAAAAGCGAGCCAGTTTTTTACTTCCTTTCCTGATCCTGAGATAAGTTAGAACACAATATGGGGCCTGGCACTCGACTTGCTTAGAATAATGCCAATCACCTCAACTTTATTTTCTGCATTTTGTTCATGAGTCAGCGGGGAACCACTCCCATCCACGAGAGGGCGGGGAGCTGGCGTCCCACCTCTGTGGGGGAACCCTGAGGTTGGCCTGCAGGGTGTCTCCAGGGGCCCCTCTGGGTGCTGACAGTGGTTTGTGGGCAGCCCCCTCTGTTCCCCGACAGACTAGGCGGCAGGCTGGGCTGCTCTGCTCCCTGCACCACCCAGGCTGTTCTCAGGGCCCTTTTCAGGGTCCGGGAAGCCCTGCTCTTCCGAGGTCCTGAGACGGGTATTTATTTATTTCCCAATAGGCAGGCTCAGCCACTTCCTCCCTTTTCCTTTTCTCTAAAAAAAATAATTTCATGGGGAATGGATGTGGTAATGAGAGAAATGATACTGTATTAAAAATAATACTATTGTTGGTCCCACTGCCGAAATACCTTATTGTTTTAAAATTTTTCTTTATTTTTCAAAGCTCTTTTATTTCCATCATCTCTTTGGCTCCTCAAAACAGCACCACTAAGTAAGGCAAGTATTATACACATTTCTATTTTACTAATGGGGGTAACAGCGGCAAGAGGGCTCCAGGCTGGACTCGCAAAGCCTTGAGCCCTGATTCCCACCCGAATGGAGCAGTTCCCTCACAGAATGTCTCCTGGGTGGGCCACCTTACTGTACTGATTTCCTGCTTACAATGTTCATTGCCTCTTCACTGCTACATGATACAGTCTACAGATTCTGCGTGGAGTCATTAGAGACTGGAGCCACTGGGAACATTATCCATCCTACACTCCAGCCACATAGGAATTCACTATGATGTGACCCAGCCTACTCTTTTCCATGTTGTACCTCTGTGGGTTCTCATCTATGTCTCTCTCTATAGATGTTAGGTCCTTAAACAAACCTTATTCACCCTACATAGAATATGCTAGGAACAAGACAGAATTCTCGGTTAGTGTTTGTTGGATAAGAGGATAAAGAGAGATCACACTAAATCTGAAGTTCTGGACTGGCTGTCTACTGTTGCCCATCTTTGCTTAGAGATACATGCCGGGGATACATCCCAACAAGCATCCAAGAAGCCACCAGAGGGCTGGGCTCCCCCAAGTCAGGTAGATGAGGGCATGGCTGCACACCGTGGGGAAAGCCTTCTGAGAGTGTGGAATCTAGGAGAGAGGGGTGCTCCTGCGGAGGCTGGGGTACAGAGGACAGAGGCACCAGGCTCTGAGGAAGACAGACCTGCTCCCAACTGCGAACAAGCTAACTCAGCCCCTTGTCCTTCTGAAATAAGAGCTCCTCAAGAAAATTCACTTAGTTGTACAATATTTCATTCTTAGGCTATCAGAATTCCAGAGCTCACAGCAAACACCCTGAAACTGCTCCAGGGGCTCTGATTCCTGAGGCCTCTCCCCAGCAAACCTCCACGTGCATGTGTGGCCACAGGACTCAGTTCAATGCCAAATGAACACTGCTGGTTGGAGCTGATGGGAAAATCAGAAGAAATTCTACACGTGGCAAATTTCTTGGGCCTGCTGATTTCAGTTCCAAATCTGGTTGTAATACTCTGCACACCACAAGGCCACTTGTAGCGTCCAAGCATACCTTATCGTTTTTTTTTTTTTTTTTGATCTGGCCCTCAAAACATAGTTGTTGCATGAATACATTAATTGGCAGTCACATTTTACTTCCAAGATGGTTTCTGTAGAGCCCTCTCGCTCCCGCGGCAGCTTTGTGACAAGTGTATGACCTATTTCTCAATCCCCTATGCTTTCTGAGTCCTATTTCCCTTGAGTTGAAAAAGAGGAAACACTTTGATATTGCATTTTTAGCATTAGTAGCTGGGCCTTGCAATGCCAGTGATCTCCAGGTGACATGCTACCACCAATTTCCTGACAATTCCATCACTTGTCTCTGGTTTCCGATCCTTCTTTTGAAGCTAGAAGCATCATTTCAGTTAACACAGAAAGGAGACAGTGGCATCCTAAAAGCCTTGTCTGCATCAACTCATTTTTAAATGGCTCCCCTTTTAAGGACTGGGTAGTGACACGCTCATCAATTTCGGTGGCTTTTTGGCTGTAGGTTATTTTACATACCCACCTAATGACCATTTTTCATCTGAAAATATTTTTCTCTGCCTCTGTGCAACTTTCCCTCTCTCCCAGCTTGCCCTGGACACACATAATTATATACGTATTTAGAATATTGGATGGGACTTAGTTTATGGGGAAGGTAAGGACTAGGTACTGTGCAGCTGTTAGTTACTGAGTGCTGTCCTAGGAGCTGAACATACATTAGTCACGGAGTCATTCAACACTGAGTAACCACCACCTTTCCCAGTGCCTCAGCTGCCCTATGCAGCATCTGTCCTTTGCCCTGGGCAGGCATTATCTCAGGAACCTGCCACCTGGAAGCCTCAGTGCTACCAGTTGGTGTCTCGCCCTGACTACATGGCATCTAAACCACTCTTTTATCTTCCCCTCTCTTACTCTCCCACATCATTGTGCCTCCCGCAGGCTGACTCCTTCCTCAGCCTGCCCTCAACACTGAGTAACCACCACCTTTCCCAGTGCCTCAGCTGCCCTATGCAGCATCTGTCCTTTGCCCTGGGCAGGCATTATCTCAGGAACCTGCCACCTGGAAGCCTCAGTGCTACCAGTTGGTGTCTCGCCCTGACTACATGGCATCTAAACCACTCTTTTATCTTCCCCTCTCTTACTCTCCCACATCATTGTGCCTCCCGCAGGCTGACTCCTTCCTCAGCCTGCCCTCACTGCTGTAATGACAGCTGACATTTATTGAGGGCTCATGACACAACAGGTACTGCGCTCAAGCCACGTTCATAGGTTAAATCATCTCATACATCAACGCTATGAGGTATGTAGAAATGGTATTCATATTTCACAGATTAGGAATCTGAGACACGGAGAACTAATTTATGGAAGATTGCATGACTAGTGAGGGGGGACGGTGGAACTGAACCCGGGGTTCTATTCCAAAGTGCACACCCTCACTCCTATACTGCACTTTCAGAAGGAACTCAGAAGAAGCGTGATTTTCTCAGCTAGAAATCTGTGAATTTTGCAATTTACAAATGGCAGGAGGGTTCTTTTCCTTCTTCCTTGAGAAAAGTGCCCGAGGGATCTATCATTGATGATTTCTGGGTTTTCCCTTCAAAGCACATTGGTGGGAGCTAGAAATCCAGGCCTGCCGACCGCGCCTTTAGGTAAGTCCTCTTATTCCTCAGTTTTGTTATGTGTAATATGGCAATAATTATCTATTAAGTTCTTGTAAAAATGCTTTGGAGAAATTGTCTCAACAATGTAAGCTATGGCACGTGTCTGTTCTGCAATTACTAGGAATCTCAGGTACAACTAAAAATTGAGAAGTAAAAAATATTAGCAGAGTGAGTCAGAGTTTTTAAAAAGTCAAGCCAGCCCCTCAGCACTCAGCGCTGGAATGCTTTCCTTACACATAACATCCAGCCGCCATCAAAGCCAGGCTCTGCGGCTCTGGATTCACAGGGAGGGACAGCCACAGAGAGCCTGCGATCCCGGAGAGCGAGTGGCTGCAGTCTGTGTGGGCAGCCCCTTCCCCTTCATGGAGAAACCCGATGACACCCTCGGTCCTCTGCTCACAGACATGACTTCATGTGCTCCAGCTTTCTGAGGGCCGAGGGGATCGCTCCTCACTCTGCCTCCTGGAAAGAAGACCCCTGTGCTGCCTATACCCCTAAGGGGCAGCCCCAGGGACAAGTTGTAACAGGAAAGCAGAGGGGCACATTGGTGGAACTTGGAAGACACTGGGGCCTTCTCCCAAGAGTTCACTGAAGGAGACTAATGTGGAAAGGGTCTGGGAAACACCAAGTCACCCAGCCTTTCTTGCTGCCAGCTCCACGCTTGCCAGGCTCTCCTTTCTCCACGATAGCAACCAGTGGACACGACAGCCTGGGTCGGCCTCCAGGTCTCGACCTGAGCTCTGAGGTCCTTGAGAAGAGGCAGCAGGTGCAGTGTCTGACTACCCTGGCTCCCTGGCCTCATTTCCAGCTCCCCTCACAGCTGGATCCTCTCCACGCTGGCCTCTGGCTGTGAAGTCACCTCCAGATCTTTATTATAAGAAGGGACCTTCTCTCCATCACCAAGGAGAAAGACCCAAGGGTCCCAGAGAGGAAAGCATCCCCCTAGAGGCAGCAGTCATCTGCCCAGAAGCAGGGAGCTAGACCATGTGCCTTCCTGAGGTCCCTCTCAGGGAGAGGTGGTATTTCTTTAAGAGTGCTTCAATGGGCCAAGCCTACTCTCCAGGGCTCTTTAACAATGGGGTGATAAGAGTGTAATGGGCTGATTGCTCTGGAACCTATTCTGAAAAGGAAAATACACAGAGCAGTGCACAGTACCCTGTGACATGAAGTGAGATTTTCCAAAAACTGGGCCTGCTTCTTCTTTAAAGTCCTGTTACCTCACACTGTTTGCTATGCAAGTCCATAAAATGGAATCCTGGTGTACTTTTCTTCTCGTTTTATTGCTAGGGAACTGGTGTCTTTCCTATTTGGAAAATTATTTATTGAGGAAAGAAACATCAATTTCTGTAAACATGTATATTGCTCTTTCTATTCATATTATAAGAAGTATTTAAAGTGGAGAAAAGGTTCCTGACCTCACAAGGACTTTTTCTTGTTGGCACTCTCCAGAGAGACAGCACAGGGAAACAGAATAAGCAGACCTGCTTGGCAGGTCGTGCGGGCTGAGCCCCACCCTGAAGGGCTGGAAAACCACGGCTGACTGTCAGCACCCCTCCTCCTCTGCTTCAACCCCTGGTCCTCAGTTTCCTTATTCCGTCTAGTGCTAAGACTCTATGATAATCCACTTCTCTGAACTTCAAGCACTGACCGTAAGCATTCTCACCACCAGCCACTCAAGGGTGACTTAGAGAGGGGACGGAGAACCAAGGGTGGGCAGACCCACGCCGCGCCCCAGGCTGCCAAGAACCAGCAGGAAGGATTCAGGCCCTGCTGTGAGGGCTGTTGTTTTCCCCACCCAGAGTTCACTTCCTTTTCTTTTCTATTAGACAAAGAACCTCCTCCACTCTCAGTCCTTACGGTCTGAGAGGGTTGACTCGCCCAAGGCAGGTGTGAAGCCCAGGCTTCAGCCAACAAGCCCGTCCCAAGCAGCTGGCCACGATGACTGGTGTGGGAACGGGCACTGGACCCAAGATTGCCAGTGACAGTGAGACCCAGGACTTTGGTTGGATCAGTTGGAATGAAAGAAGAGTGTACTGTTGCTGAGGTTACCTGGGAGATGGCGCCTGGAGCTGTGGGTGGACGTTTTATCACGTCTAGGGGGAACCTGCCCCAAACTGGAGCCACAGGAAAGCGGAGCTAAGAGGTGGCTACAGACTGCATTCCAATCACATCACTTGTGTCCCTGTGATGAGAACTAATCCTGACTTTTCAGTTATGTGAGTCAAGAAATTTCTGTTTTGCTCTAGACAGTTTGAGTCAAGTTTCTGTGATTTGCAATTAAAAGAGTCCTGACCGATATGTCTATAAATATATGACATTTCTTGCATCTTGGGCTGTTCATGTTGCTTTAGTTTACATTAGGAAATAGGATCAGGAACGTCTGTATAGAACTAGTTTGTTCTCCTATTTAATGCAGGAATCTCCTGTATTGATAAAGGCTCCATTCTGATTTTGGGTTAAATACCAAGGTATCAGAGGGATCACTGTAGAAGTCTGCTCAGCTTCTTTGATTTATCAAGTCATTAGAAAGCTTTTCTTATGTTGGCCCCAAATCTACACCTGTGAAATTGCTATCAGTGCTTTGTCTCTGGAGCAACACAGACAGAGGCTGCCCCCCAGACTGGCTTCCATCTTTCCTTCCACATACCCGCCCCTCTCTCTAACCCAGCAGGGTCCCTTACCTCAGGTTTCCATCTGAAAACCATGAGTTGTGACTTCTAGGCTTGACTCTGTCTATCATTGATATCTTTTTTGTTTTGATTCCTTCTGTCCCTGAGTTTAACGATGTTTAATAATAATATTTAATAATGCTTAATAAAGTTTCTTGTCTTTCTGTCCCTTTCTTCACAATTCCTACTGCAACCACCATGGGTTATACCCTTATTTCTTCAGGCCTGACTATATCCATAATCTAGCACCGTCTTTTTCTGTCCTCCCCTCTCGTTCCACAATAATCTCTTTAAAATGCAGTGTAGGTCGTACCCTCCCTCAAACCCTAAATTATCCTTCTGTTGTTTATTAAATTAACTAGCCCTGACATTCAAGGCCCTCTATACTTGTCCTCTGTCCCTCCCCAACTTTTCTAATCTTAATTCCTACCATGCCCATATCCTTTACGTTCTGGTAAGAGTCCTCTGCCCAGCCTCGGCTTGCTGATCACTATCCTATAGACACACTGTGTGCCCCAAACCTCTGCAGTCCCTATTCTTCCTTTTCTCTATCGATTATGGTTGGTCTTTCAAACCTAACTCAAATCCTTCTTGCCTCACCAGTTTAGAATGACCCCTGATGCACCAACTGCAAATACCACTAAGTCAGCGCTTGGTTACACACTAGTTTCTCATCCCCTACTTATCACATGGTCTCAGAATTGGAGGCTACGTCAGCCTCCAACTCCTCACCCCTTTCCCACAGTTAGAGGGAGACAGCTACTACCCCTCCCACACTGAGGCCTCTCTCCATGGCAGCCCTCCCTCCGCCCCTCCCTCCTCTCTCCACCCCACTCCTCTCCCCCTTCTCTCTCCCTTCTGCAGTCCCTAGTCATGGAGGGATGATATTGACCCTTCCACATCTTGAGATGTCTCTCTTCATTTTGAATTACGTGTCTCTCCTAGACAATTTAAAATACAAGATCACAAATACACAAAACCAGACCCTGACTGGGCAGGGGTCCCCCGTCACCCCAGATGGATGAGTGAATAACTGACTTTGTGGTGTGCCCACTTCACTCAGGGGGGCAAAGGGGCTTTTCCAATTCTTTGGAAATGAATTGTGGTTACACGCTGGGCTTCTTTTCTTGAAGTGGCTGAAAGAAACACAACAGTTCAGTTCCACCTGGTCTTCCTTGGTTTTAGAAGCAGAGGGATGAACCACATGTGGGGTGGGCAGGGTAGGGCCCTCTCCTCTCCGCTTGGACCACACATCCCTACCCCAGAGCCAGGTGGGCATCTGGGGCTCAGGTGTGCCTCCTTTCTCTCCCTCCATCCCCCGTCCCAGAAGTCCAGGTGCAGGCTCCACTCGAAGCCGGGGCAGCCCCAGCTAAGGTGGAGGAGAGCTGAAGTCACTCACCCATGTAGAAGTACTCTGGGGAACTGTCCTCTGACGAGAAATCCTTCATGGGGCCTCCAAACCGAAACCACAGTCCAAAAGCAATGACTGCCGACCCTGCCAGCTGAAAGGTAAACAGCCTGCATTTACAAGGGAGGGGAAAGTGTGTGCAGGACCTGGGAGGCCTGAGGCCCCAGAATCTGAGGGTTGGAGGGGGGGCCCCTAAGAAACCAGCCCGTCTCCTCTTCACGTTTCTTATAATAGGAGTGGAATGATGTGCTCAAAGCCCCCAGCCCACCCCAGGTCCCTGATGTGATATTAAAACTGGGGTTTCCTGATTGCAAGCCCAGAGTTTCTCCCATTCTGCCAGGCTGCCCCGCGGTTATAGGGCATACACAGCACAGCCCAGGAGGTGTCTCAGAAAGGGTATTCCCACAACAGTCCCCTGGGAAGGTATTTGGTTCCTGCCCTATTGTCCCCTGCTGGGCACTTGGGATTTCCTCACCAACACCACAGTGAGAGGTCACCGAGAGCAAGATGAACTCCAAGACTGGGGGAAACCCACTTTTTTAAATGGGAAGAAAACACGCCAACCTCAGAACCTGCCCACACCTCCTGAGTGTACAGTGTCCAGTTAGAAAGCCATTTTAGAGGCATCTAGAAGCCGTCCTAACCCCCAGGCTGCCACTGTCACTGTGCCGCACTGCCTGGGGATGGTTTTGCAGGCAGTGAGGGAAACTGGCCGGGGTTGTTTTGTTTCTTTTTTTTTTTTTTGGTTGCTATTTTGGGTTTCCATGGAAAGCAAGAAAGGAAAAAGTAATTTTCTGAAAAAGCCTGGTCTGTGTGCTGTGTGGCTCAGGGAGAGGCTGAGTGGCCGGCGCAGGCAGCGGCTGGGCAGGCTGGTGGCTGGTAGAGTCATGGCCCGCTTCCTCTCCGCCACTCGGAGGGCTTTTGTGAGGCTCCACACCTGAGCTGGAAGCCTTTCCTTCCCAGGACTGTCACAAAGGCCCGCCAGCAGGCTCCAGCCAGGGTCTCCTCTCTCTCCACAAACACCCATCTCGAATTTCATTGTGTCAATCAACAGATGGCCACTGGCACCTTCTGGACTCAAGGCACCACAAGTGAGCAGAGATGTAGAAAGAGTCCCGTGGTTCTGCCAACCCATCCAGTTAGTGTTGGGCTTCCCTAACCCATCCCCAGACCAACGGTTTAGAGGCTGCCCCCGCCCCAGCAGGGAAGAGTAGACACAGATGCTGGCAAAAGGGAGACAAGCACACAAGTCAGAGAAGTAGAGGTTTAATAAGGAAAAATGATGTCAAAGTCAGGGTCAGACCAGAGCCCTGTTTATACAAGATCCTTCTGTCTGTGGGCTATTTGTAAAGAGCCGGGGCTATCTGTCTGAATATATATGAGGACTTTATCTTTCTTCACCCTCCATCTTCCCAAGGCCCATTCCCTCCGTGGCCGGCTTCTTAAGCAGACCAGCATGACTGCCGCAGGAGGAATTGGAGGGGCAGAGCTCTACCAGCTGGACTCTCTAATGTGGAACAACTAAAAGTTTCCAGTACTTAGAGGAAAGCACTAATTAGATAATGTGAGGAACAGCTAAAGGAACTGGGTTCAACCAGCTCTCAAAGGTTTTGCATTTTTTAAAAGGGTAGCAAGGCGTGGAGAAATATTCCGAGAAGTCATGTTAAAACATTAACAATACTTTTCTTTGACAGGTAAAATTACAGGTGACTTTTCTCTTTTCACGATACTTTCTAAGGTTTGTGCGTGAAGCATGTATTACTCTTGTAAGTTTAAAAGTGTGATATGGTAGTTTAACTGACCAGTCCAGAAAAAAATGGGGAGAGTTTTCTTGGGCTGTGCTTTAGTTTGGGAGGAAATCGGCTTTGAGGTCATTGCTGTTTCTGGTGCAGGGAAGAGGTCATTGTGAGGTCATTGCTGTTTTCTGATGCCCTTGGGAAAGCCCCATCCTCGGAGTGCTAGGGGCTCCCTGGGACAGATGTGCCCAGCAAAGCCTCACAGGCAGCCCTGCCTACGCCGCCTCTGCAGCAACTCGGTGGAAAGAGTTTCCAAGTACAAAGCAAAAATCTGTTGATGGAGGCGTCAGGCCAAGGCCTGTAATCACCGAGCAGACTGTGGAGGAGGTGACTGGTCCCAGGGACACCCTATCACGAGGCCACATTTTTGGCACCTCTGTACACAAGCTCTAATTTATAGCTGTCTGGGATCATCCTCCCAGACGGAATACATTTGTCCATTTTTGGCACCGATGTGTTTGATTCATAATGGAAAATTAAAAGAGAGGCTGCAATTTAAAGCCAAGGGGCAAAATGAGAAAAACTCTGCGCCTGCTCGTCCACACCCCCCAAACCCCAAACCCAGGCTTTCCTCCTGGGTCGAGGAAACTGCGGCGTGGCTGAATGTCGTCACTGCGGAGGGAATCCTCCCAGCATGCCGCCGGATCAGGAAAACTGTGGGCGCGGCCAGGTTAAGCCCGAGGCTGCGCCTGACAGCCATCACCGATTTGGAAAGTGGCATCAACAGAGACAATGAAGCCCTTTGGTCCTTTGTAACTCACTGTTCTTTCAAGACTCTTGAAATACTGTGTTCACTGGACTTTGGTTGCTCTATCACACACCTGAAATTGCTTGAAAAAAATTCACACCGGGCTTCCCTGGTGGTGCAGTGGTTGAGAGTCCGCCCGCCGATGCAGGGGACGCGGATTCGTACCCCGGTCCGGGAAGATCCCACGTGCCGCGGAGCGGCTGGCCCCGTGAGCCATGGCCGCTGAGGCTGCGCGTCCGGAGCCTGTGCTCCGCAACGGGAGAGGCCACAACAGTGAGAGGCCCGCGTACAGCAAAAAAAAAAAAAAAAAAAAAAAATTCACACCAAGTCCAGTCCAGTCAGGGGCAAAGTGAGCAACTCTGGTGTCAGTAAGGCCCATTGCTCTGTGCGTCCCATACCCGGGAAGAGAAGTCTCACTGAGCAGCCTCTAGTGCTAAATTTTAACCCTACTAGACCAACCCCCCAGCCCCACCCCATGCCCCCATTCTCAGCCCCTCCTTCGCATTCAGATACAACACTGTACCTCTGGTTGCACCTCAACACTGCAGCCAACATGAGAACAAATAAGGATGGAGAGGCTGCCCCTTCATGTTGCTTTCCTTCTCGTGCCCCTGCCCGTCCTCATCTGCTCTCCTTCCTCCCTGTCTTTCACGGAGGAGGTAACTATGGTCCTGACTGGGTACCGTGTTAAGCATTAGGGAAGCAACGATGAAAAAGACATGAAAAGTCTGACATGGAAGATAATCCTGTAAACTAATAAATGCCACAGGACGCAGAAGTGTGCTCCACGGAACTGCTTCACTGCCCAGGGATTAGAGCAAAGCGTGATGACCAGCGTGCAGCAGAAGGTGTTCCATTTTGACTTACAGCTTGAAGAATGAGTTAGAAGTGTCGGAGCAGGGAGGGACTGGAGGGAGGAGTGAATGCCAGGCAGACGGAACAGTGTGGGTAAGGGCTGCGCTGCCTTTCATGGAACCCTGTGTTGGGGAGAGAGAGGAATCTGGGGAAGGTCAAAGTCTGGGGCTTGAAACAGGAGTTAGGGCACACGGCTCACAGCTTGTACTAAGCTTGCTACCACTGTGGAAAGTCCATGGCAGGGCCTTGAGGAGAGGGGAGGTGGGAGCCCTCATTCTGATGGGGGCAATGAGCAGCACGAGTGCTGCCTGATGCCAGACACGATGAGAAGCCAAAGGTAACGACCTGAGTGGTTGAAGGCCAGAGGGGGGATGTTAGGGGCTGGACACGGTGATCGGCGAGGACCATGATGGATTCACTCTACCAACCAAAGAACTTTGCCGAGGGCTACTCTGCATCCGCGACTAGTACCAATCCCTATGCCTTTGGAACAATTACCATTAGAAATACTGTTTTTCCAGGGGTGGACTTTTTCATACAACAGCATGAGTAGGGCTTTGATGCTAATCATTTAATAAACATTTGCTGAGCATCTGTCGTGAGCCAGGAGGCAAGGATTCATAGATAAGGAAGATCCAGTTCCTTCTCCAAAGGATCTCAGGGGCTAGTGGAGAAACTGATCCCACCTCTGTGGCCCAAGAGGGACTCTAACAATGCAGGTCAGAGAACCAGCCCCTGAGAAGACTCCAGATGTCATCATTCTTTGCATCACCGTTTCTCTTCTGTGCACCAATTGTGCATTAAGCACTCAGAGAATGTGATGCAACAGGATTTTGAGGGCAAAAGTGTGTACACTATTTAAAAAGAAGAGAGAAGTAAAATAGAAAAAGAAGATAGAAATGAAAGGAATAGACGATGACATTAGATCGGGGATTACCTGGTACAATTACATTATACATTTTCATGGACAAGTCATTTCAGTAGCTAACCATATTCCAGAGAGTCTGCAGGACAAAGTTGCAAATTGTAAGCATATGTCCATGGAGAAGACTGTATGTGTTCTAAAACTAAAGCAGCAGAAAAGAGGACTACAGACCCAACTGGAAAACTTTTAAAGCAAGGTGGATGAACAAAAAGTTTCCTTTAAGTAATGCCTATCTGCCAGAAAACAAGTCATTTAACTTGAAGCAAAGCTTGTTACTGGATTTCAATTATATTGTGCTGTATTTATTTCCACTTTCCTGGGATTGCTGATGAAATGTTCTATCTTGAGGACATATTCTTTTACTTAAAAAAAATTTTTTTTTCATGAATCACAAACGTGGTTCTTACGAAGGCACCAAATTGGAGGGAGGGTAGTGCTGAGATACAAAAATGCGAAGATCACTCCCCAGGCCTGGGTCCTTCATTCTTCTCAGCTCCCCCCACCTCCACCCCTTGCCTCCAGCAGAAGGTAGCCCACCCTGATCACAAAGAGCGAATACATGCTACTCTGCTATCTGATGGCTAAACCCACCAGAAAGCTCCCTTTCTGGGTAAAAAGCATCACTTAGGGATGTTCTCAGGCAGCTCATGTGTTTTTCCCTAGATAGGAGACCCAGTTAATTATCCTCAGAAGCTCTAGCCACACAGTTTCAGTTCCTTCTCCCACTTGGGGACCCTGCTCTTGCTATTTCCTTAGCTTACAAAGTTCTC